AGATGGAGCTGCTAGTCCTCGAAAGATCTCAGTGCCAAAGAAGAACACCAATCTCCATCGACAAAGCAAATATTGAAGCCCCCTTAGCTGTTCATAGAGTATTTTCTCAGAAAGTTCTGCCGGAGTTTCTGCACTTACTCTCAAAGATGTTTAACTTAATATCTGTGGTCATCGACTACCGTCAGCTACTTTTTCCCTCCCTCTGCGCATTAATGTAGGTATCTTAAGCAACAGATCTATGGCAAGTACATAAACAGCAAAAGGTAGAACAGATTTAAAATATGAGCACATTATTGGACGGGGCATGACCATCAATATGGAATATCTGTTGGGCAAACAGACGGAAATCCGGAGAAGGTGTCACGTTGTGCCCATGGATTTTGTCGTAGCCGCTGAATAGACTTTGCGACTTTGGCGCCGACCAAGCTCGCCCTGTCCTCTCACATCCGCAATGGTATTGGCCTGTGGACCAATTTGGCGAAGAATACCTAGGTAGTGAACTCACTTGTAACGGGTCGAACATAAAATTTATCGATGCATATAAAGCGACAGAATATTTGCTTGCTATGATAATATACATAAGCACATTTGTTTGAGATAAGATGATATAAGTTATTCTGTATATATTTGGAAGGACATGATACGAGTTCGATTTGGAATTATAACGACGGCTAGCTTGAGTCTTGCTAGGCTGAACTTCTTGAGGACCTTGGAGTATTTCTTATTTGATAACCGCGTAACTTCATACATTTCATAAACGCAATGCGGATGTTTACTGATTTATCGCATTTCTTATCCTTCTTTTGCCTCATTACTCTTGAACCCATTTGTATTTTATTATGACTAGACTTACGGCCAATACACTCTGATTGTTTAGGACACTAAACCAACAAAGTCTACCGTAGGTGGCCGTATCTACTGTAGACTTACCTTTATCTGTAATTAGTTACTTCATGATTCTACAAGAGCAAAGGCCGTTTGCTAAACCCAGTGCCGAAAAAGTCTGTCTTTAGATACGTGACAACTATACTCAAAGCATAGACCCTAGTAAAATATTGTTGCTTCGAAGATCAGCCCATCTGTTACCTGATCCAGTCCTGCGTAGCAGGCACCGTACGTATCAAATCATGCGTGGTGTGAAGATGCATTGTATGTTTCTCTCCATACAACGCGAGAGGTGCCAGCTGAGTATAACCTAACCCAGCTAGCTACGAAACACGATGGTCCTTTACTGGTACGCCTTATTCGGCCCAGGTCGCCCATACCCGCCATTCAGTGAACTGTGGCGAATCTTCCTGTAACATAATTCCCGATTCGAATCAGGACCATACTAGCATCAGGACATGAACTAATGACGATGCTCCTAAATGATTACTGGTGGAGTGCATTCGATTTATCGAGAGGTCCCGAGAAGGCCATACTGGCGCGATATGCCTTCGGTGGTGTTGAGCGCCTGAAGCGGTTCCTTTACCGGTGCGCGCCACCGCCTATGTATGGCTTTGTATCTTATCGTCGAAGCGTGCTGTTCACAGCACGGCGACGCGCTGGGGCCAAAATGTACAAGTCAAACAAAAGTCCTATGGGCAGGCAAGCAGTTTTTCAAACACATACAAAACTGCCCCGCTAGATTATGCTTGGCGCCACATTTACTTCGACATGGCGTGGACATTTTGTTGAAAAGTCTATATAGTCGCCTTCTGATTTCTGTTAGCGACAGTTCAGACAGCGACATGCTCTGCTTCTCGGTACAAAAAGAAAAGGCTCCTAAGGAGCGAAACGTCATACCTGATTAGAAATGCTTTTAACACTTCCTATGTGGGATACTAGCAGGAATACACAGATTGCCTAGTATTTGCCTGCTAATCTTAGGGATACGTTGTGGCCTAGGTTCGAACCCGCTCATAGATATGTTCGTTTCGTGGTGAGAGCCAACTGCCTAAAGGAATGTCTAACAGCAATATCGGATGTAAAACTTGAAAGACAGGGAGTGTCGATGCCCTGCTTTCTCAGCTAGGCTATCTAGGTTAAGTTTAGGTCCTATTAATTTTTTTTTGTTGGCATTTGAAATATAAGTCCATGTCGTAGAAAGGTGAATATTTTTTCTTTATTTATTTGATCAGTTTTCATTGCAACGATTTTATTATTACTCTTATTACCTGCTTTAGCTGAAACTGCTACAGTGTGCGCATAGATATATATCCTATATTTGATCTAGTCTATAAATATATATAAATAAATAACAAGACCGAATAATGCGTTTGTTGCATATATAATCTACATCCCCGCTTTCGTTTGACTTTGAATGACTGAGCCCCACATTTCTCTTGTATTTCTCAGCAAAATGTTGGTTACTTTTTTGCAGTAAGTTCTTTGTTCTCATATAAAACTATCCAAACGATCACATTGCCAATGATAGACGTAGATTTCAATATTATTATTTACGATACGTATGTGTATCATGCGCCAATTTGAATTTTTTGCTAAAATGAAGGAGAGAGCAACTGTTGCAATAACGTTAGCCGTTCGTTAAACACACAGAAGAATTATTGTGTGTCAAACACTTATAGCACAGCACTGCCACGCACTTCACACTATCGATGAAAAAGGATGACTATTAAGGTGGCACTCCATCTACACCAGGTAAGAATGCAGTATCCGCGAGCGTGTGACGGCGTTAGTCTTTATCTGTTTCTCAGTCGATAGGTAGACCTGGCAGGAAACAGGACCTCACCTGTGTAGCCCCCATATGTCTTTTCTTAACGGCGTTAAAACACCGCCTGACGTTTGTGGGTCACAAGCGAAACACCTGAGGCCTAATGGCTTGGCTATCGACCCCTTGCGTTGTAAAATATTCTAGCCTTGCGTTACACACATAGACATAACGAGTAACCAGGTGAAAAAGTGTCGTCGTAACATATGAACCTGTTACTGCCTTCGCCTGAGCCTGATGGTGTAGGCAGCCGGCCAGACAAAATCTGATGCTACGTAAGTGTTCTTCTAGCAGTATTATTGGATGCCAGTTTTCGAACTTGTCACATCCTATGTTATCTCCAATATGTGTTGCAGCCAGCTAGTGCAAACAACCTTCTACACTACATATATATATATATATATATTAGATAACACGGTAAATGTGATGTTCCACATGCCCTTACATATTCTATCTGTATATCGTACTGTCGGATTGCTAATCTGCATTGTGGGGAGGCGTAGCTGTTAATTTCGTAGCCCGTTCCACTATCGCTTGTTCGATCACCATTGTATCATCATCACTAACAAACATACAAAAACGTAACGCTCAGCTTAAGGCAGGAGAACCGGAACTATTAAGTGAATAACTTTGTTTTATACCATAATTTCTACTGAAGTAACTTTATCAGCATACATACATAGATGGTATGTTACAACTCGGCTATACTTTCCATGTGTAAACAAGGAGGTACTAATATATGCACAGGAGCATGCTAAAAATCAAATACGAACAGTGGAATGCACTTACTACTGCTATATACATATAGCCATACAATGTAGTTTTCGTAGGCAACGAGTTAACAAACGATCGAATTCGCAGGTGAGTGGGGTAAAGACCAGTCGAATAGGTGGTTCGCATCTAGGGACGGAGAAATGGAATGTCATGTGTGGTGTGCGATGGCTAGAATCGTTCCTGCGAAGGGGGCAGACCATGGCTCCCAGCATTATGGCTGTGTCGAGGCCATCTCGAGCATAGGGTGTTGCAGAGAGGTTCCATTGACTGGCAGTATCCTAGGAAGCAGGCCACCCTGCGTCCTGCCACCGCCGCTGCCCCACTGCAGCCATATTCTAATCCGTTGCGCAGCATTCTTACCGTCCCACTCACTACGACCGCTGCCATTAGCATGGTCAGCACCCTCTCCATCCCCAGTTGAAAACAATGCCGCTAGATAGTAGCACCGGTGCTAGCCTCATTTCCGGACGCATATCCGGTAACACCGACGGCTGTGGCTGCAACTGCCTTTGACATTGCGGCGAAAACGCACTGCCGCAGGTGTCGGCAACCGCCTAACAGTTTGCTGTAGAAGCTAGAAACTGCATACTAGACGCTGAACGGCAAGCTCGCGTTCGGCGTTTGACTCCATGTCGCGAATAGTCGGCTGCATTACCGAGCATGCGCCGCGGAACATCGGAGGGTCACTGGGTACTCGTATTATTGGCGTGTTGAAAGGAAGGCCAACTGCAGCTTCATTCGTACTAACTCAAGGGGAGTTCCCTCTTCCTGTTATAGAAATACGTAGCATTGACACGCAGGCTTGCGCAAATCGTGCAGGGAGGGATCGTGGGTTCGGTGGGCAATGAACAATTTGGGGATTATATGTACAATACGTACGTGTAGAGAATCGCAGGGGCGTATATTTGAGGTGCTTTGGGGATCCTGAAAGAGTTTAGCTAGACGTAGTTGATGACCTTGACGTTTCGGTGTACGACCCAGGATATGCATAATGAGAAGAGGTTAGGTTTGGCTAGCCCCAGAGTAACGGACCAACTTGATAATTGTGGGGGCATCAACGCCGGTGCAGGTATGATGATTCGATAATTGAATACTGCGACCGGGGAATAATGCGTGAGGCGTATACTGTTTCAATAGCAAGACACGACTGATGTCGATAGATCGGATTGGTGCTTAACGCGTTTCAGAGTATGATCCGGCGAATTATTTGCTACTATTTAAAAAGTAATTAAGTCGCAATAACATTACAACGAGGTTGAAATTATACCATGCGTTATCTTTTACTACCTACTAGGACTATTATAGCAGAGAATTAGCAAACAACGCCTAACGCCTATTATAGGATAACAAAGTGATTCATGGTGAAGTTTGGGTAGATTGGGACGGTGTCGTTCGGCCACATGCAAAACAAGCCGGTACGCCCGGTCGAGCTACTTGACAACAACAAATAAAGTATTAAACATCAATAGCTAACATGAGGAATAGGAGAGATTACATTCTTGCGATAACATCGTACCTTGCTCTTTAGTTTCGAAATACTGTAACAGCTGCTGATTATGTTTCGTGGCCTCAGCACCTGTTGACGACAGTTGAGATTAATATGAACGTAAAATCCGTCCAGACGACCCAGTAAAGAATAGATAGAATAGTTGTAAATAATTAGCCCTGTCCAAGTGAACACCTATTACCTTACGGCCCGAGTTCGTACTGTATTCGTCTGTATTTACGGGTCAGGACAAAGGTTGGCCATTGGCTGTGTCAATAGCTAGTCTTTTTCTGACTAGCCTTCAGTTTCTTTTTGTTAGTATTTGATCAAATGCCGCTCAAGCCTCGATGGTTTCCTACCACTATACAAAGCTAGTACGTCATACTACACGTAGGTGAAGAAGCTGCCAATGGTCACAGAAGATTATTGCCCATTGAAGATCGTTTCCGTTATTACTATTGTATTATTGATAAGCCGGTAATCTCTACTAATTAGACGTGAATATGTTCTAGGTTGATACAAGCCTTTACGTATTGTAGTACCACGCATACACATCCACGACCCTTGATCAGTGTCGTTGCGGATTCGTGTTATTATCACTTTGTGAGGGCGGGCGGCGAGCTGCACCCGCCTGTTGGCCTATTTCTAAGTATGCGTATAGCACAGAAGATATGTTGTTAAATAAACGTTTCGCTCAGTATACAACTACTATTGTACCACAGTGCTACTGTGAACAATCGTGCACTGTATCGGTGGTAAGGCAATACAATTTGTCAACAATAAGGTAACACAAAGCCCTGTTAGGGAGGAAGGATTGACAACTTAAACAACTGTACAGCAACGGAAGCGTCGCATAGAAAATATGTTATTTACTGGTAAATCTCTCTGAATTATTGAGACGCTGGCCTGAACCGAAACATATAAGCAGGTTCTAACCTGTGTTTAGGTTAACGTCAATAGCCATCACCGTTGAGTTATGAATGTACCTAGTTGTACCTGTTAGCTGCACTAAAACATTCGGGTTCGGTTTGAAAATATTAGTGTTGCATTTGATATCGTTTTCAATTAGCCCACACCTCTTAGTAATGTAAAGGCTTCTCTAGCGTTTTGCCCCACGTAGTTCTCCACCGAATGGTACGCCTAAGTGGTTACACTCATATTCGAGCTAATGGACAAAAGGAAGTACGGTTCAAATATCGCTACTATTTCAAGTTGTTTAACTTTACTGATAACGAAATGTGCTATTAGGATTCACGATGCAGTATAAAACATGAGTTAGCAATGGAAGGCTAACGGAAAACTGTGCATAGCTATATCTACAGCGAGCTGTCTTCTATTGAACGAAGTCACAGTATGCAGTACTCACCATGCAAGTATGACCGTCCGTAATTTCATTTATCATCGATGTATAATCATTTGCCTACCGTCTTCTATACCTGCAACTTCTATCCCAGTAGTGCCGTCGGCCACAAGTGCCTTCCGCGTCGACGCCAAAGTGTAGTGTACATAGACGCTTATGCCTCTGTCGCTGTTCGCCATGACCCGCTAGAGAGTGTTTTCTTCTTTGTTTGCGCGCGTTGACGCATCCACTTTCTTTATCAGTGGTTCAGGCCGTGTCGCGTTACAAACACCGTTTTAGGTAGAAGAAACTAGGCCTATTCTTCGACAATCCAATGGCTCTACGGACCACCTGCCCGGCTCGCTGTTAGTGTTGCTGTTGCATTTATACATTGTAGCAGATGCTGCTATTGCAAATCAGGGAGATTGTCAGATTTTTCCGTGGATTAGAACGTGCGCAAAGCTCCAAACGCAGAAAGGCTGAAAGAGGATGAAGATGCAAAACGTAGATAGTAGTCCTACAGCCTGCACTGTGTACAGCCTGTTAGGCTTACAGTGCTGCCTTGATTCGTCATTTCCTGCTGCATGTAGGTACACAGAATGAACTCGTCTTAGTTCAGCGATCGAAAAGACCTCGCACGGGATTTTGACTGCGTCAACGGCGAGAGTTATTGTAAAGCAGTTAATGATAGAGAATAAAGCTCCTATCTGTGCACGACTGATAGTACAGCAGATACTATTGAACAATACTTTAAGCGACTGACAGGAACAGTAATAAGAAATAGAGGTATAGCATTAGGAATGGGCTAGTCAAAGTAGACGTTCCCGCGCGCGGTCCTCTAACACCTCTTTGATTGATCAGTTTCTTTTTGCCTAGCGCGTTTGTATCTACTGAAGTGCACGGCTCTGTCTGGCGTGTAAATCTCACGTTCCTAGGGTGCACGAACAGATGCCATCTGTGTGTATTAAACGGACTGAATTATTGGCCTATGGAAAGGCAAGCATTACCTCACGCATTGTTCAGGCTCAGACAGTTTGTAACATAACAAAAGTAGATGATATCAATAATTTCTCAATCATCAATCATGAAACCAATCATTAAATTAAGTTTGCCATTTTTATAGCAAGCTAAATATATTCATATCCATGATGACAATTGTTTGTTCAATGGACATAGCGGTGTGAGAGTGAACTCGATTAAAGTTAACACATCAACCCGCATAATACTGCAAATTCACTTCGTGTAAAGCAATCGTTAGATTTCTGTTGAGGAATGACGGCCCTACACGTTCAAAGATTGCGAGATGGCAACCATCTAAGAAGCCAAATGTCTACGTAACTCTATTGGTTAAATGGCGAGATGTAACTTTTCTAGACGTGTCTAGTTTGCAATAGGCGGTGGGCCAAAACTAAGGAAAAATACAAAGTAGTCTCACACTGACTTACGTCCATCCAATCTGACGAGACAGACAACGGTGGAATTTAGAATAGCCGTTTTCAATTTCCTCATTGTCATCCACTAGAGGTAGCCGGTCCTCGAACTTAAATCCGGACGATCGGAGAATTCTTTGATCCGTACCTGCATTTCATCTACTTCAGTGGGCAAATTGTTAGGCAAGACGACACTCGATGCCAGCGAGAACGAACAAAATAAGAAGACCGAATTTACTGTTCCCATTGATTTTGCAGACGTCGCTGTTTACTATGCATTATTTAACGGTGCCTTACGCGCACTATGACCGCCACGTATGGAGTTCGTCCATATCGTATCTACTAGTTCTAGGACCTACAGTCGACAGCGTATTGAGCACTGCATAGCCAGGCAACTCATAGAGTCACTGCGCAAAGCATGCGGAGAGAGACAAGGGAAAGAGGTGCGAACTTGTGATCTCACGCTTGCTTCTCTCCTTCGATCAAGACTAGCAAAAGCTTTCGTTTATCGAAAGAGCACCGAGTAAGTTTGGGTAGGTGTTCAAAATAGTAGAACACGAAGGACAGATGACGAGAAAGTACCCGCAAACGTCGCTTTCTCTGTTATAAACTCCACGAGTCGCTAAGCTCTCTGCTCCCGTTGAGCGTGGAGGAGGGTTGCTATATTTCTCTCTTGTTCTTTCACGCTTTCACCCCCCTTCTACCCCCCGACTCGACATCATCCTTCTTGATCGCAAGGTCCACAGACGGTTACAGAGCCGCACACTCATAAACGCACACAACTTCGCCGACAACGTTTCCCCCTTACCCTCTGCCACGACCAGAATTGTCCTCGCAAGAGGTCGTAGCGGCTAGCGTATATAATGAACTACAACGCTTGCCTAGATAAGGTGGTTTAGCGTTCCTCACTATTTCACCAGTTGTGGTTCCCTGATCCTGTTTTGTTGCCGTCGGGTTCCACCAGTGCCATAGCGGCTAGGGACAGTCCTTCAGCTGCCGAAGCCTTATAGTACCACAGCTGGTAGAAGTACAAGCGATAGTAGCGTTTATGTGGTAGCTTAGTGTTAACGACACATGAGAGGACGGTGTAAGGGGATGGGCGGTGAGAGGCGGTGCGAGAACAGTGGATGAGCTCTGAGGGACAGTTGACATGGAGGGCAGAAGTTATAGCATGGCCTGAATGCTTGGCCCCTTTGCTCCATTCATTGCCGTCGTTACTCTGGACGCTTCGGAGCTCCATCGTTCACAGTTGTTAACGCTGGCTGGATATGACAAAAGAGAAACCTCCCTTCGTGGCTTACTGGGTCACTTAGTGAATTTCTTCAATGGCTAACGCAGCACTTTACCCTCCGGATGCACGGCCTAGCCAGCGTTCAAGGATTTACCACCACGACCGGCTACCACTGCGGAACCACGTTACAGCCACGGCACGAAGTAGTAACAACGTGTAGTGCAGCGCGGCATCTACAGACGGTCATGCACATACTGGTCCGATGGTTGGCAATGAACGACTTCGGTTTCGTTCTGCGTGGCGTCGTTGATTGTTCATAGAAATGCTTCCGGTTTTAATTTCCCACTTCCGGGTGAACGATTCTAAAGCGGCTTTTGACACAGGCACGCATAGCTTCCTTGACCTATTCGCCGTAATGAAGGCATTGTTTTGTTACTGCCACGGTGGCTTCCGCTTTTCCATAGGAGCCGCAATACCAGCAACAGTGTCGGTAACGTGAATAATAATTGCCAGTCCACCAGTTTACATGGGGATCTAGAAGTAACTAAGTAAGCTTATAGGATATAATAAATTATAATGTAAACATTTTTCATCCACTTAAGTTAGAGCAGCAAGAGGAAACTGACGAGTTCTAGACTATAATCAGCAGTTGTCTATCTATTACAATGGTAAATAATTGCGTGTGTTACGATATCAGATCGCCCTATAGGTAAGCGAAGAATTAGGAAAAACTTGAATCTATATCATCATTATATTATTTAACGTTAGTGATATTATTATTGCTACTGAGTTGAAAGGCACAAAACAGCAATCGAAAATTTCCTACCAGTTCCTATCATTTGGTTATAGGCGGGACGCCAAGTCCGATTGTAGCCTCCAATCCCTCGGGGTTCTCGTCAACTCGGGTCTAATCCCAGCTAAATTGTTTGCCTTGGCTAGATTATTTATGCAGAAGGCTTCGTCTTAGAGGTCGCCAAAACTCCGGCCGTGGTTTACTGTAAGAGTTCAACAGCGACGCGAATAAATAGGTCCACAGTGGCGAACTCCTGATCCTTTTAGTGGGCGGCACAGCCCTTGTTAGTTTAATCATGGTTCGGGAAAATACAGCCAGGGATAAAGTTGGTGAACAAATTGGTAGAAATTGACGCGTTTACCCAATTCATAATAGTACACTTTCTACCTTGACTATTACAGATTTCAGCATAATAGTTTTAACGTTTTCAATTTTCTGTTGGAAACATTGGGCAGGTTTGCGAAAACAAACCAATATCGGATGCAGTAGAAAATTAAAGTTACTTGTATTGAAGTCTACATGGATAGCTCTTTTTTCAATAGGCAGCGATCACTGTGCTTACACATGGATGAATAGCAATGGTTTGAACTGCGGTAGTCATCACTACTCACTTAGAGTGATTTAATTGGAGCTCATAGCAACAATTTGAAATATATGTCCTTTTTAGTTTTCTATATCAGTTCGGTTCAAGTTAAGCTGTATGCCGATGGCTCATTAGGTAAGGTTCACGACGCAAAGTGTGCACCCGCAGCAGCAAGTAGGTGTACTGGTTTGTACACATCGCCAGAATTCTACGCTTCAAAGGCAACCGGTAACTGACTGGTGCTGCGACCGACAGGGCAGTTTATGTTAAAAGGGGCCAGGACGCGTGGTTGCCCTTCCAATATTGGGCCGAGCGCTTTTTATACGATCGCGACACTGTAACAGCAACTATTATTCAGCGGCAACTCGTCCCTGCTGCCTCTGTTGCTTAGATCATCCACTGCGGCTGCACCAGCCCGCACCCCTACTCGCCCCCTACACCCCACCTCTGGCCTTTATTTCTGATTAATTCTAATAGTATCACTAAAGGCGCTCATAATTAAGATAAAGAATACAACACACACGGAACTGAAGCGCGATGTCTTCTTGCTGTCCCTCACCGTTGATGTTGTCGACGTGCTGATGGATGATTAGTGGTGTTGCGTTACCTCACAGGAAGAAAGGATGAACTTGCGGAAGAGGGTCAACCTGCCATCTACGAATACTGGTTTGTGGGTCCGTTACCTACAGACCCATATGCAAGCATGTATATACCCAAGTAATATTGGAGTTTCACGTGATAGTTAACGTAATGTATACGTAACGTTGTTGGCCATGCGTGTCTGTGTGCGTAATATCCTGATGTCTGTTGATGTCACGCCTGCCAGTTCATTTTGCTTAGGCTAAGGATAGTAGACGATCAACATGACAAACACTCTATGTCGAGTGGGCTCAGGATTTTACGATAGATTGCCTTAGTTTTTGCTAGCGTTCATGATATTATCGTATGCAGGGTAGGGTGAGAATGATTTCTCGCAAAATGACTATTGAATATGTCGAGAAATCAAAAATGGAACACCTCAGCCATTTGAAAGAAACATTCAAGTTTAATAATAACAGTGATCATAGTATAAGTATTAATAATAAGTCACTTATTATCACTATTTTGATTATGGATCTTTGATTACTTTTACCGCAGTGCTGTTTCCGTTTGGTGTTGTCTTCTTAATTACATTTTGAACAGAAGACAGTTAAACGATTTTCCTATGCCGCTACAACTTTCAAGTTCGGTCAGCGGCAAACTATAGAAATATAGGAAAAACCGTGGTTATTGGTACTTTGTTTCGGAACAGAAACCGTTTGAAACCGATGAAGAAATTCTCGGAGCTGATTTATTACAGGCGAAAACCATAGCCAAAATGGATTTCGCGTCAATGCCTGTCTCGAAGAGTCAGATTCTCTCAACGGACTTGGAAAAAAGATGTTAAATAAAAATTTCGGATACTTACATCGACCAACTGGACAGAAATATTTGGTAATTTCCAACAACTCTGTCAATGAATGCATTTTTAAGGAAGGATCAGTTCCAGAGCTCGTGCAAAGCTACGAGGTAACGCTGACGTACTTCAATTGTATCTTATTATTGGAGAGCATGCTTAATAGGTGACTACTTCTCTATGTATATATATTTTTTAGCCTGTCGATACACGAAATGAATACGAAAAAAACCTTATGGCCTCCGTTCTCTTTCCGTAAGAATATGGCTTCTCTCTTTTTCTTGGGTTTCTCGTCCTTATTACTTCCGCTGCTGAGAGGAACCCAACACGTTCGTACTCCGTTTCATCCTCACCACATAAGTCTCTATTGCATCCTCCAAGCGAACCCGTGTTGCGTGCGTCGCAGTAGCGTCTAGCTTGGCGCCTTGTATCGAAAACGGTAGTAGGTCTATTCAAATGGCTGATATTGATTGGCATAATGGGTCCGTATGTCACAGTCGCCCTCTATTTGATGGGAACGCCTACTGTAATCCTTCTTTCACATCACTTTCTAGTGCACTTCTTCGAAGCAGCCAGCGTTTGACAACTGTTGCTACTGCTGCTGCATTTTAGCTCCTGCCACCGCTCGCCATTGGCCGTCCCCGTCGTCGTACTTTTATCTGCCCTGGCCGCATTAGCCCCTTACGGGTATGCTTGTTTGCCGTAGTGCATTCCCTATCCACTTCTGCTTATGCTTGTTCACCTCCACTTAATGCGCTTAGTGGTCTTCTGTCGTCTGTCATTTACTCTTTGATACGACCTCCTCATCTTCTTGTTCCTTTGTAGGGCGGAACTTCAGAGTGTTTACGTAGGGCCTGGAAACTCGGGGATCCCATCGCAACAGTATTGAAGTCTACCAGGTTTCCTGTCGTACCCTTTATTGTTTCCTACCTGGTCGTTATCCTTGAATGGGCGTAGTTGTCGCTTCTCCTAGATCGGTCCTTGAGTGGCTTGACTTTTTAACTCTGTCTGTTTATCTAATCTTTCTTTTTCATCTTTGGCTTATTTTCTGCTACTCAGTACTCTATTCCCCTAGGCTAATGGCTAGCTGTTCAACGACGAAGACATTCTTATTGTCATTGCCGTTGCACGTGTTTCTGTTCGTGTGTGCGCCTATGTATATGCACGAGCTGTTTAATTGAGCACAACTGCACAGAGCTCTATTTCGTGACATGACGTGTGTTTTGTTGCGACATAACGGACGTACCGGCAGCTTAGCGTATACAACCGCCTGTCGAACCCGGTCACGCTTAGGCACAGGGACTTTATCGGCAGAAACAGCAAAACCCGATGCAATGAAAGTGACGTCCACGATTCCTTGCTAGAGGCATGAGGATGATACTGTCAAGAGAGAGAAAACTTATTCTGACAATAGCTGGTTTATGCTTTTTCTATGCCTTGGAGACGCAAAAATAGGTACCCCTCTCAACGAATGTAGCCATTTCCTGACAGC